CCCTGAGCAACTAAGAGTTGCCGACTGAGGGACTATTTATCAACCTGCTGGAATAGCTTCCTGCAAATTAGTAGGAAGCCCTCCTGAAGATATCTAATAGCTGGTTACCCTCCTATTCGGTTCCCTTATAGTCGGAAAAACCAAGCATTATGCAAAAGCAAGTGTTACGCTCCAGTTTTTTTTTTCTTTTCAGGATTACATAATATGATATGTCAACTAAGAGACTGGCAGAATAGCATCAATTAACCCAACTATGAGTATTATTTTCTAAATTATATATTTGAATTGAAGGTAATAAAATCAGCATTCCTTGTAATTGAGTTGCAAGATGTAGAAGATTCAGAATCTGATTCTCCAGATTCATCCTCAGTTGCAAGGGGTTGTTGATTTCCAGTAGTGGTAGTATTGAGAACAGCCGGCTCAAGTAGCAATAAGGCTTGCAGTAAATCAGGAGGTGGCTGAAGGGCTTTCAGGTCCTCAGGTGTAGGATTCTTTACCGCATCAGGAATCGGAACCAACATCTCTGGTATAATATGACTGCCTTGAGCTTGTAGCTCAAGGATGTTTTTCTTCCTTTCCCATTCAGCCTTATGAGCATCTACACCACGGCAGTGCAGAGCTGCTTTTGCCTTATTGACAGCTGCTTGAATGTTCTTTCGAGCCTTCATGATAGCTGCAGCCTTCTGCTTCTGATATTTTTTCTTTTTTCTAATCCTGGCTGCCTCAACTGTGATAACACCTCCTTTTTGGATAACTCGGCGGGATTTGGTTTTGCGATGCTGTTCCTCCTCACGAATGTGGGATTGAACTGCATGGTAGGAGTCTTGTTCAAGCTGGGCCTCAGCTAAGCAGATTTGAGTTCCCTTTGCCCATTGTTGGAATTTGGCCTTGGATTATGGACTAAATGTTTCAGCCTTGTCAATCCACTCCCCAATTCCCTTTTGGCACTCAAAATAGGTACTGGAAAGTATAGGAAGCTCAAAGGTATCCTCCTCATTAGTGGGAGCGGTAGATACATTTGTATTAATATTGCAATAAGGGCCTTGCCCATGGGTACTAGGAAGAGAAGATGGATGACCTTTAGGGTCCCTCTTGGCATTATAATAGCGGATCTTTTGCAAAGTAGCTTTGAAAGAGGGGGGGAACATGCCAGAATTCTTACAAGAATTTCTTATCTTATGAGGTTAGAAGGTCTGCTAATGAATAGAGCTTAAGTCTCTGAAAAAGGAGGAAATAGTGTACTCCATATCAAGAGAGTGTAATGCGTTGTGAATCACTTTATTGTGGTAGTGTTTCCATGGGCGAAAGACACCAACATCAAGTGGTTGAAGTACATGAGTAAGGTGTGAGGGAAATACCAAAGGTACAATATGATTCTCATAGCATTTGAGAATAAAATCATCGTTGTGGTGTGTAATATGACCATCAAGGAGAAGCATACGCCAATGTACATTCGGACCAGCGGCAACATGGTTAATGAAGTGATCAAGCCAAACAAGCGCAATATTCTCATTTGTATAGCCTGTTTGGGAGACAGCAATCACCTCAGCACCAGTAAGATTGTCTTGAATCCAATCTTCCATGATTTTCTCCCCAGGACAAATAACAACCAGTGGTAGTGTGGGAGTACCATTTGCACATATTGTTTCAATAATAGTAATGGACTTCCAATTCTCGGAGCTTGCTGCATATAATTCTTTACCATCAGTGGGAACAATAACTATCTCGCCTGTAGGGCAGCCTACTCTAACACCAGACTCATCCATGTTGTAAATATACTTGGATTTCCGAATTCCATACTCAGACAGAGTATTCTGATACTTAACAAAAAAGGCCTTAAGATCTTCCTCGCTATGGATGGCAACTCGCAAATGTGCTATGGGCTTGGTTTTAATAGTATGAAGATTAGGATTCTTCTTTAGCCATTGTTAAAAAAAAAACGAGAGAAGGAGAATTGCGGTTTTCTTGCTAGTGTAGGTGGCAGATTGCTGCATAAATAATTGAGGAAGTTGTGCCTAACCCAGCCTCTAGCTGCTCTAAGCAGTATCGAAAAACAGCCAACTCTTAGACTTCAATTAGAATAATGTTGTTTCCTCTATGCTGGTTGTAAAAACCACGAGAGTTTCGTTCTTGATGGCACTTGCGATATTGGCACATTCAAATAGATGCAGGGTTGACTTTAAAGATAATTGCTGCTGTACTAGCCTTTTCGGTAGGTTCCTCCTGTAGCTACTGCATTGCATGATCCAAACATTGCTTCATTTCAAGCTTGTCAATCAAATCAGGACTCCTGGTTTCATCTAGGCCATCAGAGTAAATTGGAGTAGAAGACTTATTTGCTGAAATAGGGCTTGACACAGTTGAGAAGGACTGGCCCGATGGTGAGGAAGGACAGGGAGAGCTAGAGGGCCACAATTGCTCTGCCTCAGGAGTATTCTGACTCGATAAAACAGCGGAAATGGCTGAGGCTGAAGATAGATTTGGCTGGACCATAAATTCAGAGGATAATTGGCTGAATGAGGAGGACGAATGACTTGGTCTAGCTGGTGAAAAATATTGACCTTGCATTGGATGAAGGTTGGCTGGGTATAATCACTGAAAATTGATGGGGAGGAGCTCAAGTGTTCATTGCAGCACTAAAAAACAATAACCACAGCGCAATACTTGCATTTACGTAACGCTTGGTTTTCCCAACTATGAGGGAACCAAATAGGAGGGTAACCAGCTATTATGTGTTGGATAAGGAGTTATGAAAGTTTGAAGTCAGGTGACCTAGAAAGGTTACAATTATAACTACTTTCGTAGATACAACCCGCAGATGAAACTGATCATTTCATCAATGACGGAGCCAATTGGAGCCAACTCTGTTTGACTTGAGAATTAGGCCATAAATCTAGAGACTTTAATGATCAGATAATTACTATTGGGGATAGTATGGTTCCCAGTTAATTATATCATAATTGCTGAAGAGGGTGTGGTGATTTTCAGAGTCTCCAGGTGTTCGCATCTTTTAAGAATACCTGACATTGCAAGATATAATTAAAAAGATACATAGTTGTATAATAAATAAATGTAGTCCACAAACACTCAAACATGGAATATAAATATCAAAGTGCCTCCCAAGCTTTAGACATTATCAAGTAATGGAGAAGGGACCTTAACAATATAATATTGTTTTTATGATTCTATTTTACTTTACCGATTTCACTCTTAGTAGTCATAAATGAAATGAGTGAATCCAAGTCTTCCTAGACAATCTCCATCTACAGGAACGAATCTTGTTTGACCTAGGCAACTCTGAAGTCTATCAGGTTGTCTCTGCCTAACAGTCTGCTATAGCTGTACTTAATTCTAAAGTAAGACTAACATTGAAAAGAGTTAACTTCAGCATCACAGGCCATCACTCAATCTCTTGGCACCATTACACACATTCCCTTGTGCAACTGCCAAGTCTAGGTCCCCGATAGTCAATACAGCGGGTTTTTACGGTATGCCTTTAAAGACTCATTCTAGCATTGCGAAATCTATACCTATCATGGTATATCACGGGCATGTCCGTGTATTTTGGAGAGGCTTTGACCCTGGTATTATCAAGAGGATCCAAAACCTAAACCCTGTGTCACACACAGTGGCTCAATGGAGTTAGTCACATTGTGCATATCCCGCTCCGGAGATTTGACCTCGTCCGGAGATAACGAATCACAAGAGATTTTACGGTACATCCACTCTGTTTTAGCCAAGCTGAAAGTTAAGACCTCCATGATCGCTTGGTAGCCCCAATACCTGTACCACTAACTACGATTTTACAAATGCTAGCTGCACAGCACCTTGCCCCGTAACCTCTCTCCACTCCACTCACACCTTACCGTATCATACCTCCTCCCTTCCCCCTCCAATACCACCGCATCGCCATCACCACTAATCAAAATGTCAACCTTCCCACCCCGCCGCGCCCCGTCAGCCACCTCCCCACGTTCGCGCTCAAGCTTACCCACCTCCCCCCCTTCCACCCGAAGAGTCTACACGCCCAAACCGTTCGACATCCCAGGCTACTTCTACCCCTCGGGCATTTACTCCCTCTCCGCAATCGCTGCCCGGGCATTCCTGCTGGGTAGCGCCTTCGCCTCCTCGCTCCTTCTTGCCTACCTCTTCCGGAACGCGTACCCTCAGCTCCCGCTCTTCATAACCGCCCTCTCCCTCTTCCACTTCCTAGAATTCTGGACGACGGCAGCGTATAATACGCGGAAGGCAAAGGTCAGCTCGTACCTACTGACGAACAACGGCATGGCGTACAACCTAGCGCACACGGCGGCGTTTTAC